CTCTCTTGGATGATCACTCCTCTTTGCCTTTCTTGACAGCCAGATTCCTGGGTGGGGTTTAGTAGACATGGACTCTGTGGCTCTGTTATCTGGCAGCCCAGAGGCAGCTGTGGAAGTCATCCCTGCAGCCTCTCTTGGAGCCCTCTGCCTCATCTGTCCCCACCCTTGGCCCCTGCCCGGGTTCACTGCTGTGCTGAGACTGCCTTGTGCTTTGCTCTGGCTGCCAGCCTTCTGCAGCAGGAAGAGCTGGCCATGATAGTTCTGTGGCTAGTTCCACTGCCCAGTGAGAGGGACTCAGTTCATACCTTCTCACAGGACCTTGAGGCGAGATCTCCAGCCCTGACAGATACCTGGCGACTGCCTCAGACCAGGCTGTCTGGCCTCAAGTTTGGATGATTGGCATTTCATGTGGCTGCGAGCCTCACTGGTGTTCTTCAACCTTCAGGTCTGAGCCTACCTCCGCTGTGGGGTTTCAGTGGGCAGGTGATGGTTTCCAAGCCCCGCACATAAGCCCTTTGCTGCCTTTGCTCCTTTCGCAGGTTGGCGGCCTGAGCCTCAAGAGAGGGGCGGCTATGCAGGTTGAGGCGCAGTTCTGGCTTTCTCCCCATCCTGCCTGTTTTGCTTTCCATTGTCTTTTGGTGTCTCCTTGGAAAAGCCTCTAGATGTCACGTCTTCCCAAGCTCTGTGCCCCGTAGCCTCTGATGTCCGATGTAACAGGTCCCAGGGAAGGGACCTTGTTCTTAGCTGTGTTGGGACTTACGGGGTTTGGGATACTCCCAGACTGCAGTGTGTGTGTGTGGCCCCAGCAGCCCCTCCCCTCTACTCTGCCTGCTCCTCTCCCAGGCCAGCTCTGTCCTGGTGTAAGCATGTCACCTTGGAGTCTTCCTCCAGCCCTCCAACTTTCCTGTTGTACAGGGAAGCATGTGGGCCCGGAGAACGTCCCCAGCCTGCATGAGGTCCTGTCCTACAGGGGAGCATGTGGGTCTAGGGAAAGTCCACATCCTGTGCAAGGTCCATTGCCAAGGCCATGTATAGTAGAGAGGAGTGGAGGGGTGGGGAGAGGAGCTGGGCTCTGACCTGCTGACGGGGCTGCGTATTCCACACTGCTCTGCACTGCCCTGAGACCCCGGCTCACTTTTGATTTCCTTCTGCTTATCTGAGGCACAGGGCTCTGTGTCACTGTGAGTCATCAGGGAATTGTGCAAGAACCACAGAGATCCACAGCATGGCCTGGAGTTCTCTGCCTTGTGCTTGCTTAAGGGGCCTCTGGGGCCTGCTGGAACTGTCTGCCTGCTCTCCCCATGCATCCATAGAGCCTGAAGGTACAGAGGCCAGAGACCCTGGGCAGCAGCCTGCTTTAGGTCTGCCCCTTAAGCCTATAGTCTCACAGGGCCTGGCCTGGTGTTGGCACTTCTGCCAGGACTTGATCCTGCTAGGGTGAAGTGCACAGGCTTGCTTATGTGATGGGGAGACTCCTCATGGCTTGCAGAGAGCCTGTGAGGACCTCTTGGTTCTTGGTTCCAAGAGGCATTGCGTTAGGAGGAAGGCCAATGTTGGGACTTCACAGTGGCCCTGTGGAGGGCTTACTTCCTAGCCCTGTGCTGTGCTCGGGATAAGAGGGCCACCCAGCTGTGGTGTGGGATGTGGCCTTTAGGTCTGTGAAGCTCGAAGCCCCTCGGTGATGTTTTGCCCTGCTGGGCTCCTTTGTGGACCTCTCTCTCCAGAGAGGTTGACTGTCCTTCCTGGATGGTGGCCAGATAGCCAGTGGCCAAGGTCAGAAACACTGGTCAGAAAACAAGGTCAGAAACACCAGCTACCTTTGTGGGCTTGGATGGCCAAAATACAATGTGAAAAATGAGGGTGAGAGGACCAGGTGCCGAGCTGTGTGTGAGCTGTGTGTGAGGTGTGCTAAGCTGTGTACTGGGGCTGCATGTGTGAGGTTTGCAAGTTGTGTACAAGATGTGTGCTGAGCTATATGTGAGGTGTGCAATAGGGTATGAGGCATGTGTTAGGGTATGTGGGGTAAGAGGTGTATGCTGGGGTGTGTGCTGGGTCATGTGTGAGGTGTGCAGGCTGTGTCATGCTGCTTCGCATGTGACACTCGGGAGGGAGTGAGGTGCCTGCCTGGTGGCCCCGCAGTCTGTGTTTGCCAGCCTCCCCTGACAGCGTTGCGGGGGGGCTTCCTCAAGGCCATGGAGGACTTGGAGAGCACACCACGCATAGCATAGCCTGTGCTCCGGATCCGGCAGCTGGAGGTAGCCCAACCTGCCTGGCCCTGAAGAGGTCTGCTTTGAGGGGAGCTGGCGGAGTGCATGGGGTGAACCCACTTTGCCGGCTCCTCCCACCTGCTTGCTCACTGGTTTCTGGAAGACTCTGGAGCCCAGAAGTCTTCATAGGTGCCCAGCAGGGTGCAGGCATATGGCTCAGACCTTCCTGGAGGACCAGTCTATGGACTGGGTGCAGCTACTCTCACAGCCACTCAGTCCTCTGGGGAGGCACTAGGAGTCCAGGTGGCTGGAGGGAGGTAGGAGACAGAAGAAAAAGGGATGAAGGGGTGGTGCCCCTGGTTTTGCCTGATGCAGAGTGGGTGGCAGCTATGCGAGTAGGGGCATGGGAGGCAAGCAAGCAGACTGGCCTCTCCTCTCGAATTGCTGGCACTATTCAGGGCTGGATGCAGCCAGACATGCCATGAGAGGACAGGGGAGGCCTTGGGCTGGGGTGCGCAGCCCGCTGTGTCATCTATGTCCAGGCATCACCTGGGGCTCTGGGGAGGGAAGCACGGGATGGGACTGGAAGGGAAGGGGCACCCTGAGGACCTATGTCATTGGGCTTCTGGCTCTGGGCTCTGTGGTGGGCTGGGTACAGGGTCAGGCAGCAGCAGAAGGTGGAGGCTGGCAATAGCCACAGCACCCTGGATGGTTTCTGTGCTGGGTGTGGAGAGGAGTCTCAGAGGACTCTAAAGGGACCTGCTAGCCACGCAGCCACCCTTCAGTGTCCCTGGGCCCACACTGTGCTCTCCTGCGGATGTTCTGTGGTCCCCGAATAACCCAGGGGTGCTTTAAAGTCTGTGGAAGGCTCCATTAGCATCCACGCCATGCACACTGTGTCGCTGTCCCCAGGGGTTGCTGCATCCATGGGAAAGGTCTTCTGGTCCTTAGGGAGCCTCCATGTTCCCACTGGGCATTGGGCTCTGCCTGAGGGCTGGGTGCTGCCCTGGACTGGAACTGGGAGCATCCCTGCCCAGCAATGCATTCTGCTCACGGAACAGAGGGGTGGCAGTATTTTTAAAAGATCACTCGGGCCCCAGCAATGGACAAGTGAAGAAGCCACCTGGCCACTCCTGGCCAGTGCTGGGCCTCACCGAGGCACCTGCACCCAGCACACACTGGGCCGCTGAACCGAGGCCTGAGAAGAGGCACCCACAGTTCCTGACTTACACAGGTGACCACGGCCAGAGTGAGCAAAGGCAAGAGGATGGGTCGAATGTGTGGTCCATGTGGAGGTTGAGCCAACAAAGTCCTGGAGGGTCAAATGTGGGGTACAGGGAAAGGAGGTGGCAGGCTGCAGGTCCTGGGTATCTCCCTGTGAGAGGAGTGGGGAAGACTAGGGTGGCCAGGCCACATAAGCCTCGGGTGTGTGGCTGGCTCTGCAGGCCAGGGACAGATGGCATTTGGAGCCACAGGAATCTCAAGTTACCAGAGTGTCCAGGCAGGGCAGGGGCTGGGGCGGAGCCTGAGGCTGAGCAGGGGAGGGAGCTAGCCTGGGGGTAGTGCTGTGTCCTGCTGAGTGTATCTGGACCTGCCATTACTTCACCTCCCAGGAGGTCAGATGAGGTGAGTGTCAGTGTTAGCAAGAGGGAGGTCAGTTACCAGGGACCGGTGAGGAGTGACAGGGTGGCTGCTCAACCTGTGGGTACCCCCTGGGCCAAGGAGAGACAGTGGCCATGGAGAGCTGGGTACTAGGAAACGAAATGGTGTGGTGGGGCAGGAATCCGAGGCCTGTAGTCCAGAGATGGGCCCTATGGCTCCAGGTGGTACTTGGGCAGTTCTGAGTGGATACTGAGGAGCAGGGGAGGGAGAAGTGAGGTGGGATGGGAGCCCTTCCCCTTGCAGCCCACCATCTTGGTCCTGGTCCTGGTGGGTGGGATGGCTTCACTTGAGGGGTCCCCAGACACAGCGGGAAACACCAGGAGAAGCAGGAGCCCTTTGCACTTTTGGAAGACAAAAGTCTTCCAAAAGTTGCCTGTGGTCCAGAAGTGGTGGCGCTCTCCCAGGCATTTCTGGGCTGTGGCTCAAGGGACCACAAGGCCCAGCCTGGGGTGGCCTTGTCCCCTGGAGGCGGAGATTTGCAGAAGCCCTCCCAGCCTGGCAGACCTGCCTCACAGGTGCTTTGTGCCTGCAGCCGAGGTGGGGAGCAAGTGCTTCCTCCCGAGGGAGCTCAGCCCAGCGCAGGCCCCACTCCATCCAGGAGCCAGGGGCCCAGTGCCAGGTACAGGTGCTATGGTGAAGGTCTATCGCTGGCCAGGAGCGGCCAGGCGGCTTCTTTAATTGTCCATTGCTGGAGCCCGAGTCCCAGGTAGAAGCCTGAGGTAGGAATGGAGATGGTGCCACCTCTGCTGCTGGGCCATGCACTGAGATGAGCAGCTGAATGCAGAATGTAAGACACAAGGTGCGGCCTGGTGATTGTACCATGGTCCTCACACTGTGGTCCTCATCTCTGGCCTGGGTTTGATGGATTTGTAACACGAGCACTTGGAGAGGTCAAGGCAGGAGCACTGCACCTTCATATCCAGCCAGGCATCTTAAGGTTTCTTAAACCCTGTCTTAAAATTAGAAAAGACTGGGGAGGGCTTGGGTTCAAGCTCTAGTACCACAAACCAATGCCAAACAACTGAACTGCAGCAGCAGTCCATGGTGCTGCCTTCCAACCTAACCTTTCTCCTTCTCCCCCTCTCCCTTCCTTTTCCTCTCCCCCTCCCCCCATCCACTGTCTATGCCCAGCTGGCTGGAGTCGTCTTCCTTGGAGTCGGGCTGTGGGCATGGAGTGAAAAGGTAAGTGGACCTACCCGGCCAGAATACCAGGCAGCCCAGATAGAAGGCCAATAGGCATCTCTGTGCAGTGCAGCCTGAAGGGTGACACACAGCCTTGGGGCTGGCTGCTCCTGAACCTCAGCCGTTAGCAGTGCTGGGCTGGGCCTGGGCTGAGGGCCTGCTGCCTCCCGTGACCCATATGATCTTGAGCTTGCCTGCAGCTTGGCACAGCCCCTTCTCTTCTCTGTGCAGAGGAGGGAAGTCAGGCTGCTGGTCTGGTGGGCCCGGGCCCTTGGAGTGCAGGGTTTCCATGATGTGGGTGCATGGAAGAGGTGCTATCCCGGCCCTGGTGGTGAGGACTGAGGTTCCCATGGAGCCATGCAGAGTGGGAGAGGATGCGCAGTGGAGTAGAAAGGGAAGTGCAGCCTGGCAGAGCCTTGGCCTGGGCCCCTGTCCCTTCAGAGGAGCCTACCTTTGCTTCCACAAGGACGGCAGTGGGAGCACTAAGCTCTGTGCTCCTCCCTTCAGTGCCTTGAGGATTTGGTGAGGTTCTGCACCTTGCAATTGTCTTGCGAAGTTCTAAGTGGCAAAAATAGGGCCTAGGGTCCCTTTGCAGAGCATCTGCGACTCACAACACCACCGTGTGGCCACCTCCAGGACTGCAGCAGCGTGAGTGGTCTCCAGTCTCCCAGGAGTGTGGATGTCCCTAGACACACTAGCATTATGTGCATTTATGTTGAAATGATCTAAAACGAGCACAAATGCTGGCTAGTTTTTCAGTCTCCCTGGCCGTACCCCTAAGTGCTTAGTGATACCTGCGGCCAGCGAGTGTTGCATGGCAGCAGCGTGCAGGGTTCCCGAAAGAGCCTCCAAGCCCCCAGAGACCCCATGTGGGAGGACAGAGGGGCTCAGTAGCTAGGAGTCAAGGCATGGGCCTCCTGCCACCCCCCAGGGAATCCTGACAGTGCTCTCTCTGCAGGGCGTGCTGTCCGACCTCACCCGTGTGACCCGGCTGCATGGCATCGACCCAGTGGTGCTGGTCCTGATGGTGGGCGTGGTAATGTTCACGCTGGGCTTCGCCGGCTGTGTGGGGGCTCTGCGGGAGAACATCTGCCTGCTCAAATTTGTGAGTGGCCTGGTAGTGGGGGTTCAGGGGACAGCAGCAAGAGGCCCTTGGTACCTGCTGCCTTTGGGGAACAGAATTGGACCTCTCCGGTTTTTAGCTTCTGTGGAAGCAGCTGGCAGGCGCTGGCTCCTTCCTCGCCTTTTAAAAATTAGTTTTATCAGAACGTTTTAGGCATGCGTAATGATCACATTCATCATAGGGAATTTGCCCCCTGCCTTGCCTTTGTTGCCCAGAACTGCCTTTGTTATTTTATATCTCTTCTAGTTCCAAATGAATTTTAGGGATGTTTTCTCTAGTTCAGTGATGCGTGCTATTGATTGATTGAGATTGCGTAAATCTGTATAACAATTTTGGGAGTATGGCCTACAATCTGATAAAAGCCATCTACAACAAACCTACAGCCAGCGTCATGCTAAATGAACAAAAACTGAAAGCTTTAACTCTTAAATGAAGAACAAGACAACGATGTCCACTATCACCACTCTTATTCAGTGTAGTTCTGGAAATGTTTAGCCGGAACAGTTAGACAAGAAAAACAAAAGCAATAAGGATAGGAAAGGAAAAAGTTCACTTACCATTACTTGTAGATGATATGATACTCTACATAGGAGACCCTAAATCTCCACCAAAAGACTTTCAGGTTTAATAACCAGATTCAGTTGTACAGCTGTATGCATAGTTCACACTCAAAAATCAGTAGCTTGCATATGTACAAATAATGAACTAGAAATTAGGGAAAACATGCCTTTCAAAATAGCATCCAAGTAATGAAATAATTAGGAGCTATTGTAAAAAGAAGTAAAAGACCTCTGTATTGAAAACTGCAGTACTCTGTAAAAGGAGATGAAGATACCAGAAAATGGGAAGCTGTGCCTTCCTCTGGGGCAGGAAGACCCTCCCTTGCCTTTTATCTGCTCTCATAAGTTCTAAAGGAATTGTTTGTTTGCTGCTTACCTTTGCCTTTCCTGGCTAAGATCAAAAGATGTTACCTTGAGAAAACATTTCCCTCTTCCAGGATGTATGAATCTGGACCTGCAGTGCAGAATCCTAATTTCTTGGCAGAACTGCAAGCTACTAGGAATTTAGTTTTATATTTAGATGCAAATGCATTTTTCAGAGCATTCAATTAAAATTAAATAACACCTGGTGAGGAAAATATGCTATCGCTTTTCACAATATATTATTTGTTGAATTTATTAGGTCAAATGTTTTCTATTCTGGGCATAATTTACAAAGCAAAGCAAGTTTTTTTTTTTTTTTTTTTTTTTTTTTAACTTTTAAAAATGCTGTTTAGTGTCTGGCTTCCCAGTGAGCAGATACACTCTAGGGCCCTCACACACAGCTTCTGGACGTGTGAGTGTTGCTTCTGATTCTTCTCTTACTTTGAAAGCCTCTTCCACATTTTTGTTGTAGCAAAACTGCCCAGTGTCCTGTGAGGCTGTGAAGACAGACTCTGTAGGCCAGTGGCATCTTAATGGGGATGCAGGCCTGGATAGGGCCACCCCTACTTGTGGTTGGAGCAGCTGTGCTTTGGGTGGGGTCTGTCTGCAGCCGACTACCACTGTGACTGTGGACTCACCTCCAGAGTGGGTGCTGGTAACATTGGCACCTCTGGGAGTGAGAAGAGTCCTGCTGGGGAGCCCAGGTGATCTGTTGGGACCTTAGGCAAGCTGCATGCCAGGTCAACCTCAGTTCCTATGTCCCTAAAGTACGGTGGTTATCTGTATGTGGCATGTGACCATTTAATGCCTGGGCACAGGCCATGTCCACAAGCAGCTGGAAGCTTGGTTAAAGTCTCACTCTGTCCTGAGATGGGACTTTAATTTCATTGTGGAGCAGGGCCACTTCTTGGAGATGGGTGGCAGGGGGGCCAGGCCTGTTTAGATCCGCACATATTTCAGCCCTAAGGCTGTGCTACACCCCCATGTATAGAGGGGGCCAAGTTGCCAAGGGCTCCTCATCAATAGTGGGAGTCCCTGGGCCCACCTGGGATCTCACATGCGCAGCTTGTGCTCTTTGCTGCAGATGGTAGTTCTGGTGAAAGTGATTGGGGCCAGGTTTGCATATGGTGTGGTGACCCCATCCATGTCTCCCACAGTTCTGCGGTGCCATTGTGCTCATCTTCTTCCTGGAATTGGCTGGTGCTGTGCTGGCCTTCCTGTTTCAGGACTGGGTGAGGGACCGCTTCCGGGAGTTCTTTGAGAGCAACATCAGGTCCTATCGGGATGACATTGACCTGCAGAACCTCATTGACTCGCTACAGAGAGCCGTAAGTGCTGCCAGCCAGCTCCTGGTAGCCTGCTGTCCGTGTGCATAGCTGGCTGTGTCTTGGGTCTGCTGGCCACTTGGTCAGGGTAGCAAGTCCAGCAGTGTCGAGGGCACCCATCCCAGGAGCACCCCCTGCCTTCCCAAGGTCCTGGACCAAACCATGTGACTCACCCTCCAAGGCTGTTCCTGTCCTCTTCCTCCAGGATGTTTCCCTTCCTGCTAGAGAGGGCAGAGCTTCCCCTGCTGTGGGATGTGACCTCTGGAACACATCCCCAGGGCTGAGAAGTCCCGGCTGGGGCCATAGTGCCCTGCCTGGGTGGCTGCCCCTGGGGCCTGGACTATGGCCTCTTGAGGTGCACCATGCTGTCCCACACCATCCTGTGCTAGGAGCCCAGCTTCCTTAAGATGTTGATACATAGCACTTATTTAGGAGAAGGAAATAAACTAGAATGTTCTAAAAATAGCCAAGGCTGTGAGAGCTTGCTTGCCCTGAGTTCCCAGTGAACCCACCTCTGTGACCAGAGCCCACCTGTGGTGTTGCTGCTGACCCTGCTCGCCTGTGCTCCTGTCCACGCTCCTGTCTGTGCTCCTGTCCATCCTGCCTCTTCCCCCTACCCCCTTTCTGAGTTCACTTAGCCCTGGGCTAAGGGTGTTTCCTCGTGGGCAGTGCAGCCTCTGCCACTGCCCTCCTCCTCTCAGAAACGAGGCTTCCCGGGTATTTAGGGAGTTAGGGAGCTTTCTTGGGGGAACAGAGTAGGTAATAGTTAAAACAGCTGGCATATAGAAAGGTGGGGTTTTATCTTAAAAAATTGCGAACCTAAAAACTCCAAACATAGATTTGCTGTGACTTCTGCCTCGAGGGCAAGTCCAGGAGTGGGTTAGAGCCTTTTGGGTTGGGTGGCCCTAGGGTGAGAGCCATGGTTCATAACAGTGATGCTTTCAGGGTGGAAGCTTTCCTTTGCTTCGGCATCAGAATGTGGGAAGCAGGGGCAGAGGCCCCCAGAGGGCGGGAGACAGATGCATTGCTGTTCACCTCCATAGGAGCTCTCACTCTGGGTGAGACACTCAGCAACTCTTTTGTGAAGAGCCAAATGAATAACAGGGCCAGCCTGAAGTTTTTGGAGACCAGGCCTGCTGCCAAAGGGTCCCTTCCAATAGGGGAGGGCTTCATGGGACAGGAAGGCTGTGCTGGAGGCTACGGGAGGAAGGGGAGCAGCTGACCAGGGTGGGGCTAGACAGAGGCTTGAGGACTAGTGTCCCTTACAGGACTTCCTGTTTGTCAGCACTTGGCAGTATCTGCGTGCCCAGGACAAGTGCAGGCTGGGCCCACTTTCTGTTGAATAGAGGTGCCCTCAACCTGCTGTATCAGATTGCTGCCTGGTACGGGGCACCCCAGCCCCACCCCAAGCCCTGATGGCTCTGGGCATTTGTGATTGCAGAACCATTGCTGCGGAGCTTATGGTCCTGAGGACTGGGACCTCAATGTGTACTTCAACTGCAGTGGCGCCAGCTACAGCCGTGAGAAGTGTGGGGTGCCCTTCTCCTGCTGCGTGCCGGACCCTGCGGTGAGTCAGCCAACCTGGGGTCCTGTGAAGTTACCTGGATGCTCTTGCATTGTCTTCACTATATGGGGTGCTGGGTAAATTAGGAGGAAGGGCACACCCAGCCACCTCCCAGGCAGTTGAGAAGAGAGTAATTTGGCTCACAATTTTAGGGACTGTGGGCCATAGTTGGGCAGGCCTGTTGCTTCCAGGCCTCTGGTGGGGTCAGGGATGGACAATGGAAAGCACATGGCAGAGTAAAGTGCACCCCTTGTCTCCAAGAAGCAAGAGAGCAGGCCAGTGACCTGAGGGCCCTCCACTCGGCTCTGTGTCCCTGAGCACCATCTAGGACCAGGCCTTAGACACACTAGGGACATATCCAGCACTATGTTGTGATGTGGCTGAAAATGGGCCAGAGGAGAAGCATCTTGCAATACGTGTGGGTTGTAGGAAACTCACACTTCAGTGTCCATGTGGTTTTTCAGAAACGTAGCCAGGCCTGTCCCTTCTTCGCACCCCCTTGTCTATTTCCTCTGCTGCCCAGAAGAGGCAGAGTGGGCATCATGCTGGGCACCAAGCTGAAAGGGTTGCCGCCTCTGTGGCTGGAGGGGCATGCACAGTGATGGGCCTTGCACAGGTTTGCTGGTGCTGGGGCATGATTTTTCAGGGTCCTCCAGTTGCCACCTTCTCAAGAGGATAAATGTGGCTTTTTTTCTGTTTTTCTTACAGCAAAAAGTTGTGAACACACAGTGTGGATATGATGTCAGGATTCAGGTGAGCACCCTCCAGTGCACAGAACTTTGAGGGCTCTATTGTATTACAGCTTTCTAGGTTTTTATGCTTTGTGGTCTCACTTCTGGAAGTACAAATTGAGGAAGTTAACTCAGAAGGCATTGTTTGCTGTGGGAGCCAGCTGGGGGTGGGGCAGGGAATGTGCTACCACATGCTTGGGTCCCGAGCTGGCAGCACAGCCCCAGGTGCAGGTCTGGGTGGAGTTTTAAAGCCCTGTGATTCCAGTCACCAGACTTCACCATTGGTGCATCCGAGTGGGAGGTCAGAAGTCCTGGAAAACAAAGAGTGTGTTTTTAAGAGGCTCCTTCAAGGGTTTGTGGTGCTGTCATGGGAGTGTGGGCTGGGAGTCCCCAGGGAGGCAGTGGTAATGGTGGCTCTTGGTTGGTATGAGACAGCCTGGGGCGGGTTCAGAATTCTCAGGGCTCCCTCAGGCCCCAGGCAGTGGGTGCCTGGATATGAAGAAGCAAGAACCCACCCCAAAGAGACAGACAGAGGCCAGCACCCCCACCACAGTCCTTGCTATGGCAGCTCTGATAGGAGTGCCACAGTCCCAAAAGGGAAGGCTTGGGGAGTCTGTGAGGACCCTCCTGTCAGCTGGGGCATGAGGCAGTGTCCAGCAGCTTGGGAAACTTGAGGGTCATTCCTGGTGACTTTGTTTCTTGGGGACAGGCCACTATGGATGAGTGCTGCCCCCACCCCAGTTCCCATATTGAACCTTGATTGCCAGGGTGAGAGCAGCACTCGATGGATGATGTGTGGGCTGGGGTGGCCATGTGAGCTCAGTGGCAGCCTTGGATGCGAACCTTCCCAGCCCCCGGAGTGGTGACAGCTCGATTGTGTTGTCTCACCCGCCCAGCTTCTTATATATAGAAGCCCCGATAGACCCAAGAGCTCTGTCGGCTCAGTTTCCTGGGTTTCGGATCTCATCGCCTCTAATGTTAGTTTGCTGGTGCTGCTGTGACAAAGCGCCAAAGCTTAGTGGCCTAAGAAGCAGCAACCCCATTCCTCACGTGCTGAGGCCTGAGGGCCCAAGGTCCCCATGTCCCCAGGTTGGTTCCTGTGAGGGCTGAGAAGGCAGGGTCTGTCTCAGATCTCTCTCCTGGGCTTGCTGTGTCTTCATGTGGTTCTTCCCAGTGCCTGGGTCATGACCCCTCTTCTTGTAAGGACACCTGTCCTACTGGATGTATAAAAGACCTCCGCCCAGACCCTGTCATCACATACCTCACATTCTGAGGTCCAGGGGCGGGGGGTGCTTAGCACGGGTGCATAGCAGTCAGCACAGGAGGGGGCACAGCCTGTAAAGCTGCTGGAATGCATGAGTGTCTACCACTTGACCTGGAGGAGGTGGATAAATGGGGCTTAGCTCCAGGTGGTAGTGGGTAGCCTGGGACCAGAGCTCGATTGTCTACTGGGTGCCACCAGAGGTTGGCTTTGGAGGGAGCTAGTTAGCCGATGGCCACCACCCACTGGCCATGTCCTGGAACCAGGCTTCCCCAAGGCGCCACCGCTTCTTCCTTGGACAACTCCTTTGGCTGAGCACTCTTGGAATCCCCTCTCCCTGACTCTCCCATTAGAGGTAGATCTTTCTCCTCCATGCCTCCAGACTCCTTCCTGAAGGGTTTTGGGGTGTCTTTGAACAGAAAGGGTCCCAGATGAAGGCAGAGAACATTGGATCTGACAGGGACTGGGGCTGGAGTGTCCGACTGTCCCCAGCACCACACTGGAGGCCTCGTCCCTCAAGGTTGCCCTGCTCTATGTGGGAGCTGGGCTCCCCAGGGCCGTGTGGGCTGCAGGCTCAGCCAGTGTGTTTCCCTGCAGCTGAAGAGTAAGTGGGATGAGTTCATCTTCACGAAGGGCTGCATCCCAGCGCTGGAAGGCTGGCTGCCGCGGAACATCTACATCGTGGCTGGTGTCTTTCTTGCCATCTCACTCCTGCAGGTGGGTCCCCAGGGCCTGTGGGGCCGAGGCTGGCACGCTGCTTTTTATTTGAAGCAGCCAGGCCCTTAACAGGATGCTTGTCCAGCTCAGGTGTCCATCAAAAACTGTACATCTAAGCTGTGTGTGTGTCTCTGTGTGTGTGCTTGCATATCATGTGCACACATTTAGCTTGTTGGCTCTCATCACTGTTACATGTAGAGGGCCTGGGCCGAGACCAGGCTGGAAGGGCCCTGTAGCCTCCTGGAGGATCCAGGAGGCCACAGGAGTGGAGCTTGGGTTGGATGCCAGCTGGGCTGCCACCTGCTTTGGGATCCTTCCCTGCTGTGAGCAGAGGTAGCAGGCTTTAAGGAGATGGTGAGCTTTAGAAAGAAGGCTGACTATTGGTCAGCTAGGGCTGGAAGAAGACCCAAGGCTTGGATCTACAGGGTTCCTCAGCACCCCTTTCTTCCTGTCATTGGCACACATCTCCGGATTATTCCTGTTCACAGCAGACCCCTGGCTGTTCCCTTGTGAGTCTCTCTCCTGGAGGCTGCTGCCTTGTGTTCATCGGAACCAGACCTCACACATGGAAGGGGCAGAAAGACCTGGGTACATGGGCCATCAGTGTCCTTCTGAGAGAGCCAGGAAATCAGTGCCATCAGAGAATAGGCTGCATTTACAGTACTGCTCAGGGCCTCTGGGAGTGCCCAGCTCCAGCTGCAATGTGCCTGTGGGGCATATAGGTGGCTCTGATAGTGTTCGCTATGATCTGCCTGGAGTGTCCCTGCATTGCCCTGGCACCCAGCTGTCCCACATGCTGCCTCCTTCACTCCATGGCGCATGTTACGTGGACTAGAGAAAGACCGAGAGAGAGAGAAGCCTGTGGGGGGAGGGGGAGGGAGACATTCACTTGGAGAGCAGGCAGAGAGATCAGACCACAGCAAAAATTACAAAGGGGAAAAGCCAAACCAGCATGGAAGGTTCCCAAGGTCATGCTGGTCAGTTCAGGGAGAAGCCTCAACCCTGCTTCACCAAGGTTGAGCCATGTCTTCAGGTTTGCGCCAGCCACCAGGAGGGGCAGCTTTGGCTCCAGAAGATCTAGGTTGGCAGGACGCTGGGGATGTACCATCGGGAATCCAAACCAGTTGGGTTGCCCTGTACTTTAGGTCGAGCAGCTCTCCATGGCCTGTGATGTACTCACTTGTGTTGGAGGTGGAATCCAGGGCTTTCTGCTTCGTGGAGCCTACTCTTGGCTCTTCCAGACTCTGGGGACAATGATGGCCCTGGGCTCACCTCCTGGCAGTGACTCTTTTGTGCTCTGCCACTTGCCCTAGAATCTGTCTGTGTGTCTGGTGTCGCCATAGGGTGGGCAAGGGACCTATCTGCAGTGGGTATCTTCAGCCTACTCTTTGTCTTTGGGCGCTGCCGACATCACTGTCCACTGCCTTTGGTTGCAGATTTTTGGCATCTTCCTGGCGAGGACCCTGATCTCAGACATCGAGGCGGTGAAGGCAGGTCACCACTTCTGAGGAGCCAGCGCCCCGGCTTCGGCAGCAGCACAACATGACCATGACCTGTCTGCTCTGCTTGCTGGTGCTGAAGGCCCAGGGCCCCCTCAACACACCTGGAACCTGGACATCACCCAATGGGAGATGTATCTCCCCATGCAGCAGTGACTGAGAGACAGACAGGACCCTGTGGCTATGCAGAGGGCTTCACTCAGCCCCCCTGGAGTCTGAGGACGTCACAGATGCCCCAATGTTCACTGCAGCCTGGGCTCACGGGCAGCCACATCTTCCCAGGGTGGGCAGGGGGCCAAGGACAACAAGCAAGGTTCCCTGTGTCGGGTGAAGCAGGACGGGGCCTGCCCTGCTGCAGGAAGGGGTACCCAGGTGGTCCTCAGTACCCTCGGCCACAGCCAGGTGAAGCAAGCCTGAGCCAGTGCTTTGCTGGGCTCGGTAGGTAACCCCCCCCCCCCAACCCTACCCCAACCCTACACCCCCCCCCCCCCCCCCCCCCCCGCAGCATTAAGCCCAGGGCAGCAGGGTGGGTGGGGCTGGACCTCGGGAGCAGGCTCTCCTGTGGCCAGTGTACATAGTTATTTATAGCAGTAAGAGTGTCCTCACAGTGGCCTGCCTTTCCTTGGGCACCCTTCTCTCAGCAGCCTTACCTGGTGTCCCTGGAGTGTCTCAGAGCCGACCACATGGCCTCTCCTGTCCACGCTGTTGCCCTCCTCCGTGTGCCCCACACGCTTCACCTTCCCACTTGGCCTCACTGTCTCCTGGTCTCGGTGCTACTGATCCTGTCACCCAGAACTTGAATCCCCACCCTCCCTCCTCTTGGAGCCTCTTGTGCACTTCTGAGAGAGGGGCACTGCCTTAGGGCCAAGCCCAATGCCGGGAATCTTGAGGCTTTAGTTCCTGAATGTGGGTTATCCATGGTCTCTGTCTGCCCTTCCTATCCTGGCCACCTGGGACTCGATCTCGAACATGCAGCTGGCCTCTGGACCAAGTGCCCCGGGCAGTGCCCGGATGCTGTCCTTGGCTGAGCCACCCCAGTGCGTCCCCAGCCCTTCCCTCCCACCAGGGCCGCATCACCTGCCACAGTATACTCGTTCGTGTGGTGCACTCTGGTGTCGCCAGTAGGTGTTTATTGATGATGATGATTCTATAATATTTGTTTTCTGTTTTTTTTTTTTTTTTTTAACAATTCTCTGTAGATTAGAGGAAAATGAATGCTTGTGTTTTTAGGAAGTATGAAGCTTCTCTCTGACTGCCAAACTCTTTTATGGAATATATCTTTATATTAACACTGCTGTTCTGGTCTCTTATTTTTCATTACTGTTGAGGATCTTGGTGGCAAATCATCTGTCGGGAAAGACACTGGGATCAGGGTGACCACACTGTCAGGGGTCGCAGGCAGTGGCAGCAGTGTATCAGCACACTGACATTAGCCCCATTTTGCTGTAGTCCAGGCTGCTAAGATCAGTCAGCTGGCAGCCGTGTGTGGAGCTGAGGTGCTTTGCTCCTGGCCTTTCACTCAGCAGTATGTTAGGCCCAGCTCCAGGCAGTGCTGTTGACCAGGAAAAGGAGTTGGGGGCATGGGGCTGGAGTGTGGATGGTGTACTCACAGGGTTCCTAGTGCGTCCTGGACTCCTGGGTCTTTCTGAGGGGCGAGGGAGGAGGGTCGGGGACACTGTCCCATTGTGAGCTTCTGGCCAAAAAACCATCTTTTCTGCTCCACAAGCAGCCATAGCTTGACCCAGAGTGGATCCTGAGCCTTCTAAAAGCAGGAAATGCTCAGTCTCTAGCATTAAACTCAGTTGTCCGAACAGCTCTGAGGAGGCCATTTTTATGCCAAAATAAGGCGCAGAAACACGAGTTGCTGCCGAGAATTTGGGAGGACTGGGTTCACACCAGGAAGTCCCAGAACCTCCCCTGCTGCAGAAATGTGCACAGGGCCCTCCAGCCCTGAGCACCACAGCCAGTCAGCCCTTGCTACAGACCCAGAAGTCAGCTGCTCGCAGCTCTGGCAGGGCTGCAAGCTCTTAGAAAATGGTGAAGTGTTGATTTCCTCTCTCTACCTGGATTTGGGTGCTGAGTTTGTTTGGGGACCCTGGGAGCTCAGCCTCTTCCTGGGCCAGAGGAATTGGAGCTGGGTAGCAGTTGTCTCCTCTTTAATGCGAACCACACAAGGCTATCATACGTATATGCTGCGTTACCTCTGTGAGGCAGGCTGCTGGGAGGGACTCACTGCTACCTCTGCCGCCTGTGGAGGGCTCTCTGGGAGCCTTTGCAACGTGTATGGGCTTTGCAGGGAGACACCAAAGAGGCAGCTGGGGCTGTGAGCTGTACCCAGGATACTACCAGCTGGTGAGGGACCACCAGGCTTCCTGGCAGTGGGGATTGCAGAAGCCTGCAGGAAGGGGAGGTTCCTCCCCAGATGTGAGCCTGGCACCCACTGGTGGAAAACCCTCACTTGTACTGAGTGAGCATGAGTGGGGAGAAGGAACAGGTTATGTCCTTCGTGGTTGGGCCTGCTCCCAGTCACAATGTCCCACCTGTCCCCAGGCAGCGGGCTTTTGGGTTGTCTGTGCCCTGGGATGGATGCTTATGCCTCACTACTCTGGGAGGATATGGTCAGGGCCTCCAGGACAGTGCCCTTCTTGCCAAAGAGCCAGAGGTCCATCCACCTTTGGGACCTCCAGGTGCCTTCTCTCCTTGGTGCCCCAGCCACTGGACGCCTGTGGAAACCTTCCTGGGTGGGCAGGTGCCTGACCCTTCTGAGAAAGTGATGCTGCCCCAGGGCCAGACCACCACTGCTGAGAAGCTTTGGACGTTTTGTTCCATGGTGAGTCCCTGCTGGTAAATCCGTAGCCTGGTATCAGCCTTTCCTGTCCCAGCCACCAGGGGTTGCTTTTGGATACATGATCGCCTCTGTCCTGAGTCTAGCTGGCCTTTCCCTTCCAAACAGGAAAGCCATGTTTCCTCTCCAAATGCCTTAAGCAAATGTCAGATGAGCAAAATAGACCTGGGGTTGTATTGCACCTTTGGAAAAAAGTTTCAGGATCTGTTTGAGAGGGTACTGTTTTATGAAAGTTGGGTTTGGCGGGATCCCAGTGGTACAGCAGGAGCAGTGGGCATCTTTACAGAGGTCAGAGACAATTATCTCTCAGCTCAGCTTTCTGCTGGCTCTGCCTCTTCCAAGCCTGACTTCAGAACTACCAGAATAAATGATCAACTCAGGCTATAACTTAGCACCCCACGTAGCTTTTAAACTAGCCTTTTAAAATATACGCAAGTGAATGCAATCTAAACAGAGTATAAAGTCTGTTTCATGTCCAGAGGCAGCCACTATTAAGACCGTTCCAGAAAGAACCTCCAGCTCTCCACACAAATGACAGTCATTTTGCACAGCACCCTTCTGTCAGTTTTGCACTTTGCCCATCTGTGGCCTATCACATGGTCACAGTGACCGTGATAGGGTTGTGCCATGAACTGGTGGGCCTCACTTTCCTACAGGGGAGCCGGAGTGTGGTGAGTCACAGGTAACTGAAAACCCAACTCAAACTAGCCCAGCTGTGAGGGGAGGATCTTGGCTGGGAAACTGGAAAGTCTGGAGTGAGAGTCAGGGTTGGTTTGATCCAAGCAGCTGGGTGGTGTCAGCAGCATCCGGTTTCCTTTGCTGCTGCTCCGCCTTCCACATTATCCCCCTCACCTGAGGTAAAGAGAGATCAGTCTGTCTTGGACAGTGGACTCAGTGCAGCAAAGTGGAGTCCTGTGGGCGAGGGCAGGGCTGCTGTACTCCGTTGTGCTCCTGGGGTGATCCTCGCGGGGTATGCTCTAGTACTTGATTATTGGAATTACCTCCTGGGTTTGTAAACAAAGCATGTGGTTAAGGGAGCTCTCTGGAGAGGTGCCCGATGAGGCAGAATTTGGGGCTAGAGTGTGCTGCTTTCTACCGAGCCATTGCTGGTTTGTGGGAGAAGTCCTGAGCTTTTTATTTTGAAGGTAATATCACTCTCCCTTGCGAGGTTGCTTTAAGGATTAAATGAGATGTATAAACCATTTAACATAGGTCCATCGTACTTTTACTAATACAGTGTGGGGGCTCACAGGGTTGTGTTTGTAGCTGCCAGTTGCCATCAAGCTGAGCTGTCTGGGTTGCGTGTCATGCAGCTCAAGTGTGTCTCTAGGTGGGAGGCATCTAGCCCTTTAGGGAACCTCAGCAGGCATTCAGAGTTAAAGATCTCTGCTCCTTGTACCATAGTGGGTATGGTGGTGAGGAGGAACCTGCCCCTTTCTGCCCGAACCCTATGCAAGCAAAGAACCCCCCTCCCAACAGCAGTATGGTGCCATAGCTGCTGCCAAGGCCCTGGTGCCCGGGAACAACAGCAGGGTTGGAGTTGGGGCAGGGCAGGGTAGGACTGGAAGCTGGTGCAGCAGGGCCTATGTGCTCTAATGTGGTATGAAAGCTGTGGGGCGGTGACCAAGGGGGGCAGGCACTTCTCCCTCTCCTCTGAGGGAACATAGCTGCCAGCAGGACTAGGGAGTCCTGAAAGCAGGGAGTGTGTGAGTGGGACCAGTGCTGAGAAAGTTATGAAAATATGGGAACAGGTGCAGAGGCAAAGCCAGAGGGAGGGTGAATACCGTGACCCTGCAGTGGAGAGGCAGTGTTCCCCATGAAACTCTCCTCCATTGGCCAGTGTTGTCCTCTGAGTCTACCCACTTCAGCTTGCTGTGCCCTTGTGAGAAAACTCGATGTTTTAGTTACCGTACTTGCTGCTGAACTCAAAGGCAATGAAAGCAGGATCAGAACAAAAGAGCTGCAAGAGAGTTCCCTAAACAATGTGTAGGTTTCCACTGGGGGCATCCGGAAACTGTTTTGCTTGTTTGCCTTTTGTCTTCTATTCACCCTCCCTGTCTAGAAGGGAGCTCACTTCTAAATAAGCACCCAGCAGGTAATCCAGGAAGCCAGTGTCTCAGAGTGAAGAGTGATGCCTGGGAGTTACAGCACCTGCCCCACTGTCCCAAGTGATGGTCAGCTCCTGTGGGAGGCATCCTGGAGCTGCTGGCTGCCTTCTTGATGAGACTGAATGGCTCAGGCCATGTCTGCCGCACAGGGAGCCTGTGTCTATGGACCTGCTGTAATCTGTCTCCCTAACTGTGCTGTGGAAAGACATGGCATTGCTGCTTCTAAATCCTTGTCCTTTCTTCCCTGTCCCTAACCTCACCCATACCCCAGCCCACCCCACCCTATCTCAGCTGCACACATCATCTTCCATTCATTGTGGCCAAGTCCAGGAGAGTGGGCTTCATCAGGGCTCTGAGGATGACCAGGCTCCTCTGTACGAACATGGCCTATTCTCACAGTGAATCATCTCATCTAGTCAAGAGTTGCTTGGAATAGCCAATGTAAGAGGTCTCAGTGTCATTTCCCCCCTTTTTTGTCTGAATGATTCTTGGATTCCTGGATTCTTTTTTCCATCATGACTACGTTTTGAAATATATTTACTGGAGAGAAGACTTTGGTAGTACAAAAGATAATTGGGGGTACAAGGTACCTCAAGGTCCTGGCTGATGAATCCTTATTCCTCTCAACAACACAGTTCTAACTTGCAAATATATACATTTAAATTTCATAATTCTGGCCTATTTGTTTTTTGGAAGACTCCCTGTGTCAGTTTCCCTTCACTATAATGAAATAATCAATTTATAAAGAGCAATCGTTTATTTTGCTTCAGAGTTTTGAATGTCCCAGTCTATGATTGGCCCATTACTTTGGGCCTGTGATGAGACAGCACATCATGGTGGAGCACACAGGTGAACAAAGCTGCTCACCCCTTGGCCAGGAAATAAAAGCAAGAGATTTTTGCTTTTGGCCACACTACCAGTGACATGGCCCCTCTTCTGAAGTCCACAGCATCTCCTAGTGACACCACCCTGAGGACTAAGTCCTGAACACATGGACCGCTGGGGGACAGCCAGCAACCAAACTCAGTACCCACCCACCCCCAAGGCTACCCCAGAATGGGTGTCTCCCCTGGCCCTACAGGCTGCAAAATGGCTGATTATTCACTATTGTCTTCAGAAGTGAGGCTGGGGTATCCAGCATTGGAAGCCCTTCCTTTCATCTGTTCCTGAAGCAGCAGTCAAGGTCTATGTCTTAGTTACTGAGAAAAAATATTCAACATCCAAAGTTAAAGAGGAAAGGATTATTTGGCTCACAGTTTGCAGGGGTTTCAGTTCATAATCAGCAAGCTCCAAGACAGTGACATAGAGCAGCAACAGTTCATGGTGGCAGAAGATAGC